GAACCAACACATAACCAGTGCTGGCGAGGTTGTAGAGAAAAGTGAACCCCACTGCGCTGTTGGTGGGAATGCAGATTGGTGCATCCACTGTGGAAAACAGTGTGGAATTTCTTTTAAAAATTAAAAATAGACGTGCTTCATAATCCAGCGATTCCACTGCTGGAATATACCCTAAGGATCCTGAAACACCAATGCAAAAGAACTTATACACCCCTATGCTCAATAGCCACTATTTACAATAGCCAAATGTTGGAAACAGCCCAAGTGTCCATCAGTAGATTGAATGGATTAAAAAACTGTGGTACATTTACACAATGGAATACTACCCAGAATTAAGGGACACCTATCTTTCTGGACAGTGTGGATGGACCTGCAGACTATCTTGTTAAGTGAAATAAGCCAGTCAGCGAAAGACAAATATGATATGACTTCACTTACAATTGGAATCTAATAAACAAAATAAACTGATGAGAAAAATACAAAGACATGGAAGCAGAGGACAGACTGATTGCTGTAGGAGGGGAAGAGAGGGGAAATGGTGTAAGCAGGAGGGACTAGTCAAAGAACATGTGTGAATGACATGTGGACACAGACAAGAGAGGAGACTGACTGTGGGTTAGAGGGGTGGGCTCAGTGGAGGGGGGCAAAAGGGAAAAAATTGGGGCAACTGTGATAGAATAAACAAAAAAGAAAAAGGATATTACAAAAGTTAAGGAAGTCTGAATGAACTATGAACAATGGCCTTCTGTATATTCAATATCCAGCTTTAAAATGGTTTTTCCTAGCCCTGACTGGTATAGCTCAGTGGATTGAGCACAGCCTGCAAACCAGACAATCGCGGTTCAATTCCCAGTCAGGGCACATGCCTGGGTTGTAGGCAGGTTCCCTGCAGGCCAGTTCCCAGCAGGGGATGCACGAAAGGCAACCATACATTGATGTTTCTCTCCCTCTGTCCTTCCCTTCCCCTCTAAAGATAAATAAATAAAATCTTGAAAAAATAAAATAAAATGGTTTTTCCTAGATTTGAATTTTATTCCTTTTTCACTATATATATCTAAACAATATGAAATATTGTTTTAAAGTTGTATATATATATCACACTACATTTCTTTTACATCATCCTCTTGTCCTTGTTCTATTTCTGGGTTCATTCTTAACTTACTAGTGAATAATATTTCATTACGTAAGTATCCCACAAAGTATTTATTCTTTTTTAAAAATATTTTATTTATTTATTTTTAGAGAGAGGGGAAGGGAAGGAGAAAGAGTGGGAGAGAAAGATCAATGTGTGGTTGCCTCTCATGTGTCCCCTACTGGGGACCTGGCCTGCAACCCAGGCATGTGCCCTGACTGGGAATCGGACCAGCAACCCTTTGCTTCACATGCCCCTGCTCAATCCACTGAGCTACACCAGCCAGGGCACATGAAGTATTTATTCTTATTGATGGATGTTCCCAAATGTTTGCTTCTATCCACAGTGCTGTTATGTGCACCACTGTCTACATATCAGAGTTTCTGTAAGATACTTTGTTCGGAATGCTGGTATTTAGTATTTGGACATTTTCAGTTCCACCAGATTTTTCCAAACTGCTTTCAAAGGCTATAACATGTATGCATTTATCAGCCAGTGCGTAGTAGGTTCTGACGCACTTAGGAGAAAAACTTTTGAGAGACAAAAACATTGAATAACATTGTTGCCTTAACCTTAGTTTTATTTTTGTGTCCATGTAGTCATTCCTATAAACAAATAGCAATTAAGAGCCCTAAAACTTGATGTTCTAAGACCACATGGTGCCCAGAGACACAGACACACCCACTTGCCGCGTTATCTTCTGACGCAAGACCTGTCGTCAGCACGCCCGGGACGTCGGCGTTTTGTTTTACGTCCCCGAAAGCCCTTTCCCGGGCTGTCTGACAAGATCCAAGTATCAAGGTTATTTTGGTCGATTGCTCCTTTTGCATAAGAAAGGACAATATTCTGACAGCCTTTTCTTTGTCTCAGGGGGGGATCCTCTAGTGGTCTCTAAGAGGCTCTCATCCACGAAGAGCCCCTTCCGGCTGGCTTTTCCTTCAGGCAGTGCCACTGGCAGCCCTCGGGCCCTCGTGAGGCGCGAGCCGCAACCCCGCCTCTTTCTTTTCGGCCGGAACCGCCATCTTCCAGGTGGGGTTTGTGCGTTTCTCCCGGCGAGCCGGGTTCTCCAGTATTGAGTTCTAATCCTGAGTCCACCTAAGCTGCCCATTGGGCCCAGGTATATTGTCTGGTCCCTCTGCCTTGCTTGGTGGAGCTGTATTTGTTCAGACTCGAAAGGGGTGCGTCCGCGGTTACGGGCTTGGGTCGGAGGACCGGACTGCGGTCCCGCGGCCAAGCAGAGGCCACGCTCGAGGAAAACGAGGTCCAATCACCCGCGTGAGGCGACTTGAGTCAGAGTCTGGGAAGATACTCGTCTGCGTCCTCACGGCTTCGCTTCGTTAGCCTGGGCGTTCTCAGGTTCGGTGGGGCCGGGCCGCGTGGCGGACTGCCATTCAAACCGCCTTCCGCGTGGCATGTTTGCTCCTAGTTTAAAATCTACACGCGTAATGTTACCGGATTGGGAGTTAGGGGTAGGAGGAACGGTTTCAAAATTAGGAATCGCTTTCATCTGTGGTGAAAGGTTGTGCGTGGAAGCCTCGTGGTCGGAGAATGGAATAGGTTCGCACTGTGCTCCCTTGGATAGAGAACTTCAGACCACTGGTCTGTGGTGCGTGAAATGATTTCGCGTTGTTTTTGGCCCTGGAGCGCATTAACAAAGGGAAAATTCTTTGCAGCGGGTATTGTTTTGTTAGTGCGGGGGCATGTTGTGTTGAATGAAGGCATTCCTGAGTAATTGGTTTAGTCGTTTAGGGGAAAGATTATCGCAGGACCACTTAATCGTAGTGTCTTCCCTTTGTTGGTCTAGCTTGTAGATAGTAGCGACCAGCCACTAGAGTTGAGCAAACTGAAGTCTGCACCCCATAGTGGGTTTTAGTTTGGGGAATAATAGAAACTGTGTTTTGGGTAGTGATGAAAAATGAATTTCTTAGCCCGGGAAGACGGGCCTGAAGCGAGGAGCATGGACTCTGGAGTCAGAAATGACTCCCATTACCGATCTACTTTTGACATAAGTTACTTGGACCTGCAGAGCCTCTTTCCTTGTTTATGAACTTATCACGGGTGTTTATGAACTTAATATCTCGAGGATGAAAACAGGGAAGCTGCCATGTAATAAACGCGTAGTTGCTTCTAAAAGTAAAGGGTGTGAGTGTTGTAACAGTCGTTTGTTTGGCTGTGAGTGGTGTAGGTGAAACATTCTTGTGCCTCTGCCTCACAGGTTAGATGAATTAGGGTACTTTAGCGGAGTCACTTTTCTTTAAGATTGACTGAAGGAGTGTTGATCAGGAGACCAGTTTACATAGAACTTGTCAACAAGAGACTTAGGTATATTTTGCCTTGTGGTAGTAATTGTAAGCAATAGCAGCTCTCTTCTTAGATAACCTGAAACATTTGAAACCTTTCAGGAAACAAAATGAAAGGTTCTGTCCTAAATGCATATAGGTAAATTCTTAGTGAGTTGGAGATTTTTGACAGTTAACATTAGTACAAGAGATAACTGCCAAAAAGAACTAGGTTTGCAGTAAAAGAAGTTTAATTCACCATGTAAAAATGCAATGCTGAGCCCTGGCTGCTGTAGCTTAGTGGATTGAGCTCAGGCCTGCAAACCACACAATTGTGGTTCGATTCCCAGTCAGGGCACATGCCTGGGTTGCAGGCCAGTTCCCAGCAGGGGTCTCATGAGAGACAACCACACGTTGATATTTCTCTCCTTCCCTTCCCCTCTAAAGATAAATAAATAAAGTCTAAATAAATAACACTAAAATGCAATGCTGACTTTTGTTATGCTTTCCAACAATACCTTCTAGTTAGTAATATTTTCTAGTTACAATATTTTCTAGTTAGTAATTCCTGTGTGCTTGGCATTCTAGGCTGGGATCTCCTGTGTGTGTGTTTGTGTGTGTGTTTGTGTTGGGGGGGTCCTGTTGAGTTTATTATATTCTAATAGGTAAAATACTGATTGGACTTCTGAAGTCCAGTTCTGTTACTTAGGAACTTTAATGTTATAGAACTTAGGTTTGGCAAAGATTTTACTTGCTATAATGATGGTTTATAAGAAATACTTGTTTGCTGTTACATTTGATGGTTTTATATTTTCTGGTTCCAGTAATTCGCCAAAATGACTAACACAAAGGGAAAGAGGAGAGGTACCCGTTACATGTTCTCTAGGCCTTTTAGAAAACATGGTAAGTAGATTTACCCGCTTTGGGACCAAGCGTGGCATACATTTCTGCTGTACTGATATATTTGTGTTGAGATTCATATAATGTATTCTTAATAATGGCAGTTAACCAGCACCTACCTTATTTTGTAATAAAAAAAGCATGAATTTTATGTAGTAGTTTTTAAATTGTCAACTTAAACATTTTTAAATACATGTAACTTGCCAAATGTGTGTGGTAAAAAGCTAGTGAAATTATATTAACTTTTTAATCTTGATACTACTTTTAGGAGTTGTTCCTTTGGCTACATACATGCGGATCTACAAGAAAGGTGATATTGTAGATATCAAGGTAAATTATAAAATTGGGGAAGTAACATTAGAATGTAGAACAGTTGGATTTAATCTAACAGGAATTCAACTGTCAGTGTTCATTGTACCTGCTGGCTCCTAAATGGGGGGAAATGGATTGCCCTTGAATAGCTAATTTAATCGTATTTTTAAAGCCAATTTTTAAAGTGCTGTTCTTTAGTTTTAAGAAAGTTCTCATTACTGGTTAACAGCTAGTAGAAAATATAGGAGAAGTAATCATGAGAGTTTGTTGAGGTGACAAGGAATGCCTTAGTGCAAAATTTATTGATGGTGATTAATAAAACCAGTGAAAGTTATGTTCTTTTGTGACCAGTATTTAAGTGTATCCTGGCACTCTAGAGCTTAATGATGATTGTCTTTTTGATTGCTTAAAGCAATGTGAAAAGTGCATTTCACCGGCTCTGAAAGCTCTTGAGTTGCCATTTAAAAGACAGGTCTTTTAGTTACATTAATAGAAGTCAGTGTTTAAAAGGAAGGGGGGATTTGCTGCGATGACATTTATCTTCTTTCTTCACAGGGAATGGGCACTGTTCAAAAAGGAATGCCCCACAAATGTTACCATGGCAAAACTGGAAGAGTGTACAATGTCACCCAGCATGCAGTGGGCATTGTTGTAAACAAACAAGTTAAGTAAGTAATGTCATAGTTCTTGGCTAATTCGGATTTCCTCATACCCCCCTTTTCACTTTGCCAATTGGACTGGTGTCTTTATTGGCCATTCAAGTGGGGCAAAGGAACTATCCTTTTAAAACTCAGGCAAACTGAGTGTTTGTCTTGTATCCTGTCAGAGGAAACAAGTCGAAACAGACAGACTGGAAGTCTTAATGGGATTTGGTATTAAGCAGTTCTAGTTTTCAGAGTATAAAATGTTTGATAATGTAAATTTTACTAGTAATCTGGTTTTGGTTAAATTATTTAGTATTTCAGGGTTTGTTACCCTATGTAGGGGTAAAAGGCTCATGGTTTATTTAATAAATGAAACTGCCAAAAATGGGGTTTTTGAATTTTGGTTTTATATTTTATGAAGCACTTATAAGAGTCTTGTTTCTTCCAGGGGTAAGATTCTTGCCAAAAGAATTAATGTACGAATTGAGCATATTAAGCACTCGAAGAGTCGAGACAGCTTCCTGAAACGTGTGAAAGAAAATGATCAGAAAAAGAAGGAAGCCAAAGAGAAAGGTACCTGGGTTCAGCTGAAGCGTCAGGTGAGTGCTTGACAGAGGGTTTTTTGGTGGATCATGGGAACTGTAAAACTGTTGCTCAGTAGTTTTCTTTTCTATGAAAGTAAAAAAGAATGGAGTATGTGTTTTTTCATTGTTTCTGAGAGCACTTTGAAATTGAGTTATAGCACCTCACCTTTTTTTTAATTTTTTTTTTTTTTATTATAGCCTGCTCCACCCAGAGAAGCACACTTTGTGAGAACTAATGGAAAGGAGCCTGAGCTGCTGGAACCCATTCCCTATGAATTCATGGCATGATGAGTGTGAAAAAAAATAAAAGACTTCTATACTGATAAAAATGTTGAATATATTGGGTGATGTCTTTACTAAAGGAATTTAGTGTTTTTTCTGGCTGAACGATGTGAGGTGTGGCTTATTTGCAACAAAGAATGTACTTGTTGCTTTCTGGATGTTTACTTGGATGTGGCAAAAACATCTGACATTAGAAATGAATTGATGACATCCTATCCTAGCTGCCTTCAGTGTTCCATGATGCCTGTAGCATAACATCAGTTTATTTGAAATGGAAAACTCAACAGTTAGTGCTCTCTTCCCCACTAATGGACAAGAACCTATTCATTTTTGTAGCTTTAGTCAATGCTGCAAATGGGTAAACCCAATGTTAGTGGTGTTTTCTCCAGTGAAATGTGATGGTAATAAGTGCTTTGGAATCTAGGAAACCTGGTTTTGAACCTCATTGTATGTCTAACATAACAAACGATGCATATTAGCTGCCATTAAAGGTTCACATCTGAAAATTGTGTTCAGTCATCCTTAATTGGTCAACAGAATTCACCATCACAGAAAGCAACCAGAAAAAACTTACAAATTGCATCAGTTGGCATTCCTGTTCTAACTTTTTCAATTTTAGTTGATGGCAACACTGTCCAGTCGAAGTCATTTTAAACTTGCACATGTCTCTCACTATGCACATTTTAAAATTCTATTTTTCTGGCCATTATCAAGGCAAAATAAGGTATCAAAGAGTTGGTGCTGACAGTCCCCTTGTTTCTGCCCTCTTCATTGATTATTCCTGGTCTCTTGTGTCTTTGACCCTTTCTCACTTGCTGCTTTCTTGACTTCAGCCTATGGACTTAAAAAAACCAACAATAAAAGGAGCAGATTTTCCTATGCCTTTCTCCGGTAGCTTAATTTCCCAGTCCCACTGCAGATAGGGCTTCTGCCTCCATCACTCCAATGAAGCTACTCGAAGTTTACCAACACCTGCTAATTAAATTTAGAGATTTTTCAATTTGACTAATTAAAATTTTAATTGAAATTCTTGAGCTTTGGGTAATGTATGTGCTGATAAAATTTGCCTTCCTTGAAATGCAGGTTTGTTTAAATACATCACAGATTGTAAATTTGTAAATTCTTTAAAATTCCCATCTCACAGCACTTGTGAATGAAAGAAAAGTATTCTAACTGGAACTTGACATCCTGTTCTAAGAGTCAGGACTGTAAAAGGTTGCATGATTACTTGGACTTTTAATTTTTATCTACCCAGGTGTCTCTTAAGGCCTCTTTTTGTTCAGTTGAACCCAAGGGCACATTCTTTGAAGTCTTGAAAGTTGGGGGGGGGGACTTCATTTTATATCCTATATTCCTACTAGGTTACGATAGTATTTTCTCTTGGATGGGAAAAGTGCTAACATTAAAAGGAAGTGCTAGAAATTAGCAATAAAAATAGCTAAAATAAATAAGGTAGGATTATTTTTTTCAGTACAAGAGATACAAAACAATTTATTTGAAACATAACCTTGGCATTTTTTCATCCCACCTCCACTTGGGGAAAAATTTTGTTCATTCAAAACTCCTTACCCGTTAGAGGAATTGCTTGGTTATGAGTAATAGGCAGCACCTGCAGCTGTTACCTGCTGAGACAGAAAATGTGTGGAGGAATGGATATCCGCTAGCCAAGGTTCTGTATTGTACCTTCAAACAGCAGGAGTGTGGGGCAAGGAGCAAGTGACAGGCCATCCCACAAAGGCAAAAGGCACAGAAATGGCTTTCATACACACTTGTCTGTCTAGCAAGAATAGAAGTTAAGGAAATCATTTGGCTTGGAAAAGAAATGGCAATGGATTACTTTACTGTCTACAAAATGAGATAATGGCTTAGCTGAAGTGAAGATGTGTTGGGATTTTTTAGCTTCTGGGAGAGAAGAAAGACAAGTTTGACCTGCTTTGTTCTGTTTTCATGAGCAGAGTATTCCATCTTTACACAGTGGTGGACTGCACCAAGATTTGAAATCGGGTTGGACCACAGGTGGCAAACAAAAGGCCTGCAGGCCAAATCCAGCCTCCACCTTGTTTTATCCAACCTGGCACCTTGTTTCTACCTGGCAGCAGGGCAAAGCCCCTCGCCCCTAGTTAAGGAATAGTTACATTTATACAGTCCTAAAATGACATTGGGCCCTTTTGAAGGCAACTGTGAGGCTGATGTGGCCACTGGTGAAAATGAGTTTGACACCCTTGGGTTGGACTGTCAGCTACCGAATGGCACTGACTGCATAAATTACTGTGCTTGTCTGAACCTCAATTTAGACAATATTTTACCAATTTCAAGGATTAAGGAAGAATTCAGATTGAGTTTTTTTGTTCAGTAATTTATGAATGATAATCATTTTAACATGGGGATGCCTGTGAAGGCAGGCAAGAGTATCTTATACCTTGTCCTCCCAGTAAAAGTTTCATAATAGAAACTTGGCCGTTCTGTGTATGCTGTACCAGCACTGAGTCATACAGAGTAGATTGTCGATTATTTTGACTGTTGAAATAGGGAGTTGGTAAAAGAAACAATTCCTGTACTGGGGAAATTACCAGAATGCAGCCCCTGGGTCTGAGTGAGTGGCAGTAAGAAGCATTTAGGCTACCCAGGAAAGGCCATTGATGGGGATGGATGGTGGTGGGAGATGACTAGTAGGAAGCAGACAGACCTTTGGTGAAGTTTTGCCCCAGTGCTAGAATATCAAGCTTATTTAGTATTAACTTCCTACGTGTGGTGATGTTTGCATATTCCAAATTCTGTCCTTTACACTCATTCTAAACGCCCACGGATTTGTATATTCATATCTGCCTACTCATTTCTGTTTTTCTAAAATGGCTTAAGTGTGCCTGTTGCAGTAGCTGCACCACAATTTTATGTAACTGGACACAAATCCAAGTGAAGTAGAACACAATAGCAACAATTTATGCAAGGCTATTTGTAATTCCCCAGTTCATTAATAATTGCATTAAAATGTCATGTAATATCTTGCATATTTGTAAATCAAAGAGATTTCTAAGTAGAGCAGAATAACGTTTTGAGCTCACTGAGCAAAGGTGTGATGTAAAATGAATGTAATTATTACCTGGGCAGGGAACAAGAATCCTCCTTATTGGGTGACCTTAAATGATCTTATTCCTGACTGGGAATGTAAGATTGAATGAGGTGAAAAGATAAGCCCAAGATTCAGCCAAGAAAGGGCTTATATGCCCTTGAAAGTTCTGCATTTAGACTAAGAAAGTGAAGTTTGTGGTAGATACCATAGACAGTTCTCTCGCTGTCACTTGATTTCTAAGAGGTAGCAACTGTCTAGCCCCTGAGGAGGAACTGTGATTGTTCAAGTTTGTCGTAGCAATCCCAGTCTCCTCTGCCAGACACTTGGATAAACTTCCCCAGCTTCTCAGTTCTGGCCATTGAAATGTAAGAGAAAGTCTGCTGGGTTCTTCCTGAAAATCATTTCACAGTAAGAAAAGACAGACCCTCCCCTGCTTGAATGAGGACGTGATGTTTGCTGAAGCAGGAGCCACATTGTGTCCCAACAAGGACAGGCCAAGAGAGTCTGAGAGACAACCACCCAGACCCACTCACTGAACTGCTCAAGGACCCCTGGAATCTAATCTTTTCAAGGTTCTATAAATAGTAACTGTCCTTATGGTGCCCTTTCCCCACCCAGGGAAGGAGGTGCCCTGCTTCAGTTGTTTACGGTGGAACTTGAAATGATGGAACTGGGTAACTAATCGATGTGGAAGTGAGGGTGGTGGAAGTCAGGGGGGACTGGGAGGTCTGGGCTACTACTGGGTGATTGGAGGCACACTCAGTGTGGTCCATTGCAAAAATGGGTCCCATTCTCTACCCCTCTGCATCCCACTTCTTTCAAATGTACTTCTGTGGCTCCCTCCATCAAGGGGTAGAGTGTATGTCCCTAATCCTTGAATTTGAGCTATTGTGACTTGCTGGGGCCAACAGAAAGCTGCAGAGGTGATGAGTTACACGTGTGAGCCTAAGTCACTCTCGGAAACCTCCATTAGGGAACAAGCCTTGGCCGGATGAGGAGAGCCATGTGACTCAGCCACTGTCCTCTCATCATAGCGGACTGACAGCCAGCCAGCTGCAGGATGATGCCAGTTCCTCAACCCCTTCCAGCTCTGCAGATGTTTAAATGAGCTAACCAAGATCAGCTTAGCCTGACTTAGAGTAGGGTAACTACTGCACTGCCCTTCAGACCTGTGAGCAACTATGAGGGATTATTGTTTTAAGCCAATTGGTTTCACACGATTTTTCACAAAAAAGCTAACTAATGAAACCAGGACGGAGGGAGGGGCGAGGAAGGGTGGGGCTGTCTAATAAGCAGTTGGACATGTGAGGTTAGAACAAAGGAGGCCAGAAGCATGGACGTCTTCAAACCTGCAAGGATAAGCCCCCATGGCTCTGCATTGCCATGGCTGGCCTAGAAACGCAACACCAGGCCATATTTCTCTTCTGTGTCCTCTTCCTCTCACCCCAACCCCCAAACTCCACTGTACACCTGGAAGTCAGTACTTGAATTGCGAAGCGCAGGCATGACTGAAGTGTGCAGGTCCTGAGCCGAGGCTCCCAGGGAAGGGAATGCTTCCTTCTCTAGGGAGTCGATGCAGCCAGTGCCAGCCGAGGTGCAAACAATTACTGCCCCCAGGGGCCTTCACAGACCTGGAGCCTGGGCAGTGCTGCAGTTCCTTTATATATCTCAGGGCTCTTGCTCCCTCCTGCCGCGGACCGGCTGCAGCAGGGTCCAGGGATTCCCAAAGGTGAGTAAGGAGGTGGCACTGGGTAACAGACGACAGCACGCCTCAAAGGACAGTGAAGCTCTGTTCCGTTTATTGCAAGTACAAGCAGGTTTTTATATTTTCATTTTAGGTAGTGATTAATATTTGCAGTATGGCATGATCAGTTAAGCACAAAAAATACAAAGGTAACCAGGAAAAATACGAAATTTCCTATAAATTCAGTTATAATAAACAAAGACTATTTTGACCAGGAGAGCCATAAATCGGACAGTTAGAAATAGCTGTATGTACAGAATTCGAATGTCTTATTGTATATTAAAGTTACTCAGAATTTGTCATGGGGCAAAAGGATATTCTAGATTGAGTAGAGGTAATAGGAGATTTATTATAAGGCCTTTGTGATGTCTAACTTAGCTATCTATCCTTTTCTGTCTAAAATGTTTCTCTGGGTACTATAAACTCTGACTCTTTAGTAACTGTTTCTACGTGTTTAGTTTGTAATAACTAGCCAGCTTTTGTTATTTCTTTGCCTGTCTAATTGATATATATTCTCATTCAAGGTAAAGGAGGCGCCATTACTCCAACAACTTTTAAACATACAGGGACTTTGTTCTCTGGTCAATAAATTATTTTATACTACTACATTGGAATTATGCTAATCAATGAACCTGAAATACAGGCATCTAACAATCCCAGCACCTTTTGATCACCAAAACAAACATGTAAAGAGAGATAGACAGGAAATCCAGCCACAGTTGCCTCTGCCTTGCAGATGCATCTCAACCGTCCCAACCGTATCCCTGGGCTGTGGGTCTATATAGTTTTTACTTGTTTTCTTGGAAGACCGTTTGTATCTGTGGGTAAGGAACAGTTGTGGTAAAGTCTTTCTAATCTGTTCTTCCATTCCCTCAACTGTTGGCAGCACAACCTGTGTTTGCAACAATAACCTGGTTCTTTATTACCTGGCCTTAACTGTTGATTTAAGAGATCTAACTTGTTTTTCTTGTTTCTGGTACACCATTGGCGGTCCTGATCGCTTTAAGTTGCTCAAACCAGGGTAATTTATACAACTTGACATGTTTTCCTTTACGGTTAACAATTATATTACCCGGGCCGTGGTACTCCCCTGTATAAGGGAGAGGGGAATCTGTGGGGATTTTTCCATCCTTTTGGGCAGTTCTGTGGGGAATACTAATGTTTTCCCCTGAACTGTTCCCTCCTCTTGGGTGATTTTCACAGGAATAAGTACGGTTCAATGTCTATATTCAGTAGCAAGAGTAAGATAATTAAAATAAAACAGCCAATTGTTAACCCATTCTGGATGCCACGTACTCCTCCGGGGAGACGAATTTCTTGAACTCGAGTCCTCCATGCCCGGACCTTGTCAGACAACATGGCTGAAGAGGACGTGGCACCCTCCCTCCCCTTTTCTCTATTAATGCCACCCCTTACCGCCTTTTGAAAATAAAAGGCGAAGTTCGACAGGAATTTCTCCCTCTTGCTGTTGTAGAAACATCCATCCAACTGTGCTTTTCCTTTTCCTTTCATCCCCCAGCTCCTAACTCTGGTCTGGTTCACCCACTAGTGTAGTGTAGTGACTAGCGAAGGGGGCCACCTGGGCTCTGCAGGCACAGCCTGGAGAGAGGCCTCGCCTGAGCTCCCAGGACGGTGGCTGTATTTCTAGGCACTGGGAGCCCTGAGCGGCGCAGGTTCCGGCCGAGCGCACAGCAGAGATGACGGCCCCCGGATTTTCTGCTCCACACCCCCCTCCGCTGCGGGAAGGGCGGGGGAAGGGGAGGAGCGAAAGGCCCGCCCCCAGACGGCGGAGCCCGTTAAAAGCCTGCAGCGCTGACAGCTTGCCTGCGACTGGTCCCCGCGCCCCGAGTCCACCCGCTCCGGCTCGCCAGCCGCTCCCTCTGTGGCCGAGGCCCCGCTGGGGAGCTGGTGCTTTCTGCTGCGGGACGTGGTCCATGCGGCCGCCCAGCATGTCCGGGCACTTTCTGCTCGCGCCCATCCCCGAGTCCTCCTCCGACTACCTCCTGCCCAGGGACATCAAACTGGCCGTCCTGGGCGCCGGCCGCGTGGGCAAGAGCGGTGAGTGTCCAGGGGACCGCATGGGGTGGCGACCGCCCCGCCGGACCGGGACCACTGGGGGCTGGGGAAGAGCAGGAGCTCGTGGCAGGGGAGGACAGTACCCAGGGACGAAGCGGACGTCCCCTCCCGCCTGGTTTCTCGCGGCTTCCCGGGGCATCCACTGGAGGGCTTGGGCAGTTTGGGCACCTGCTGGAGAACGCGGGATGGTGCCTGCTCTGTCGTCGTCCCTGCCACCAAAGACCACGAGGACCGCCTCTGGGTTTTGCAGAGTCCGCGGCTCATCCCTCCCTCTCCTCCAGAGGGTCGAGGTTTGACAGTCTTGTCCGAGTCCTTCAGCTGATTTTACTATTTCATTTTCAGCAATGATTGTACGCTTTCTGACCAAGAGATTCATTGGGGATTATGAACCAAATACAGGTTAGAATAATTACGTGCCCTCCGCTTTTGTGGCTGCATGCTCCAACTTTCTTTGTCCTGCCGAGAGTGTAAGAATTTAAAAGTAGACTCCCCTTCATTCTCCAGGCAAGTTGTACTCCCGGCTTGTCTGTGTCGAGGGAGACCAGTTGTCCCTGCAGATCCAGGACACCCCCGGAGGAATCCAGGTGAGGATGGCGAACTTCCCTTCCCTCACCGAGGTCGCTCTGGAGCGTGAGCAAGACGTCTCAACAGGCCTGTTGTGCCTGTCGTGCATTTATTTATTTTTATTTTATTTTATTTATTTATTTTGGGGGGGGTATTTTTCTTTTTTCTTTTTTTTTTTTTTTTTAATTTCTGTTGTGCATTTAGATGGAGCAGTGGGCAACCCAGGAGGGGCTGGTCAGTGGGCTGCAGAAACCCTCCGAGGGGGCGCGGACTGGACGGTTACAGGCAGCTTCCTCCCTTCAGCCGCCTCGGAGAGAAGGAGAGGCGCTTAACGTCTCTTCTAAAAGGTGTTAGGGCATCGCTACTGGGATGGGGCTCACCACCACTTTCTGAGCTGGATGATGGAAGCATTAACAAAACAGTCTGGGTGGGGTTCCGGAGAGGGGTCCCTCCCCTAGCAAGGACGACCAAAGAGCTTCTGCTTCTAGCTGTCCCCTCATGTCCATTGCAGTCAGACACCCCTGGCACCCTGTCAGGAATGTAACTTGATTAACAAGTTACTAATTGCTCTCCCTTCCAGGGAGGAAAGGTCTTGTGGAAGAACAGAAAGAAAGAACTTATTTCTGGAACATTCTCAAGAAGGACGTGCTAAAAATATTTTTATGGGTTTTGGGAATAGATATTTATCTTGGCTTATATTCAATTCTTCTTCTGAGGTTAGTTCCCTAAAAATTGTGACATTCTGATTTGAAAGTTCTCATTGATGTCATTCTCCAGTCAGCCTGGGTTTACCACAGACTACCTGCCTAGCAAGGGGTTAAAAACAATGCATTGGTAACAGCTAATAAAATAACCCAGAGAGGGAACTTGCCTGAGAATTTGCTTTTTCTGCATCAAAAACCTCCTCTGCAGAAGCTGGGCAGAATCTGAAAACTATATTTAGTGATTTCTTTTTCAACCATTGTTCAAGGGTTACTTTTATGTTATTTCCAGTCCTCGCCCACTGAGGGCTTCCTTGATCAGGCTCCCTTTGATCTCCTCAGGTCCAAGACAACCTCATGCAGGTGGCCGACTCCCTGGACAAATGGGTGCAGTGGGCAGAGGGCTTTCTGCTGGTCTATTCCATCACAGACTATGACAGCTACCAGTCTATTCGCCCCCTTTACCAGCACATCCGGAAGGTCCACCCTGACTCAAAGGCCCCTGTCATCATCGTGGGCAACAAGAGGGATCTGCTGCATGCCCGGCAGGTGCAGACTGACGACGGTGTTCAACTAGCCAATGAGCTGGGCAGCCTGTTCCTTGAAATTTCCACCAGCGAAAACTATGAAGACGTCTGTGATGTGTTTCAGCATCTATGCAAAGAAGTGAGCAAGCTGCACAGCCTCAGTGGGGAGAGGAGAAGGGCCTCCGTCGTTCCCTCGGCCACGCTCTCCCAACATGCAAGACCTGAAGAGGCGCTTCAAGCAGGCTCTGTCTTCCAAAGTCAAAGCCCCGTCTGCACTGGGGTAAAGCCACCTCAGAGAGACTGCCTTCTTTTTATTGCGCACTGGTGCAGCTGAGAAGACTGGGGGTCTCCCTTTTTAATCACATGTTCAGAGTTTATTTTTATACAAACTATTGGTTTGCAAGTGTATGTGTATTTCTGAAAACTCAGTGATTGCCTAGAGGTTGGAATTGTGTTTTTAATAAAATGTGTTTTTTTGTACTGTAACTGCTTGCCACTCTTCCATTAAAGGCAAAATGGCAACATTTTGCCTTGTTTCTTAAATATCTTTTTATAGAAATCATACTTGCACCAGAGCCCAGAACCGCTCCACGCTTGCCCTCAGTCTGAACTCTGATTGGTGTCTCTCTGTCAGGAGGGGTTTAAGTGGAGGAAATCTGTTGTGGGAGAAAGGAAAGTATGTGGAGGAGGAAAGAGATTTGAATAACTTTAAGATGTCTTTAATTAGGGCACTTTGCCACAGGCATGAAATTAACATCATGTGATTTTCACTGTGCACCAGGGGCTGAAAATCACAAACATGAATAATATTATTTATTGGTACCAATGGAAGTTCATCCTCCTACCCTTATTAAAACAAAAAACAAACAAAAAAAACCACAACCTTTTCCAGTATTTCTGTCAGCAAGGACACTCTACCATCCAGGAGTTGCCTAAAAACCCTGCTTCCCTCTCTGTCTCCCTAATTGGTATTCAATCTGCCAATTATCTCTTTTTTTCTCTAAAGCATCATTGTGCCTTAATTCAGGCTTCTACCAGTATAGGCAAGACTCTGTTTTTTGGCTTCTGGAATGACAGCTGTCTAATTCTTTCTTCGCACCAGAACAACCTTACCAAAACCAACCCTAATCATTTTATTTCCCTGACTGAAAAACCTCAACTAGTTTCCCCTTATTTAGCGGACAAAATATAAAGGAGGTACGGCACCAAGATTGTTCGCCACCTCCGCAGCTTCAGCGTCACCTTCTGCCAAAACACGCACCACCCACCCAAGACACACACCCCTCCATTCCCACGGAATGGTCCGTCTTTCTCAGTACTCGCAAAGCTCTCTCACACCTTCCTGCCTTAGCATGAACTATTACCTCTGCTCTGAATATTTTTTCTTCTTCTCCAGCTGAAGGCTGGCTAAGTCCTTGACCAAGGCCTAAGTCACGTGCCACATTCAGCTTCTGAGGTGCCTTCTCTGAGTTCTTCTATTTTCCTTGCATTTGTGTTATAACCCAACCATGTCATGCAGCTATTTGTCATCTCCTTTGGAAGGAGCACCGCCCAAGGGCAGTGACTGCATTTTATGACTTTGTATTGCAAGCTTCTAGCCCAGGGCTTGCACATGGAGTGATAGATTTTCAGTAAATATTTGATGAATAAATGACTAATGTGTTATTTATTGGTTCCAAGGGACAATAATGGGAGATTACATTGACAGAACTTGTCGCTTCTGCAGAACAAAGACAGAAGACCTTCTGAGTAGTTGAAGTTCTTTATTAGCAGCAACAGAAAGTGACACGTGGCAGCTAATGGCCGTTGCAGACCATTATCCTTCCTTCTCAGGACACCTCTGTCCAGACTGGAACGGCTACACCTCTGTTCCCTGTAGTCGGGGGCATCTGCCTATGCAAAGTGGCATGAGGAATTTAGGAAATTAGATGATTTGTGTCTAAAGGAGTGTCCACATATTTAAGGGAAAAAAAGTATTGTTTGAGATTCCACTATCTTTTTAAAAGTGCCCAATTCTCCTTGCTCATTTGCATACCCTCAGAACAAAATGATACCCTCTATCACTGTCCGTTCCTGCTTCCTACCACACGTAAGCACGGACCCGAGAATATCTGATCTTCCTACTCGTTGCTACACTCACAGCTGGCCCAGATTGCCACCCCGTGCCAGGGGGTCCTCTGCCTTCAAGAAGCTGAAGTCAAACATCCCATGGGAAAAAGTTCGGTCATAATGTGACAGCAAAAGAACAATTCAAGAGATGTCCCAAGGCAGCCTGTTATTGAGTTCCAAGTGAGCACACTGTGGACCGGAGGGGTCAACGATGAGTCACAGGGCAGTTCCAAGGGGAGTGACAGCCTGCAGGGGCCCCAGCAGGCTGCGGGGTCAGGAGGAAAGCACTCCACGTGGTATTCTTCCTGTCCTCAGCACCACAAACAACTTCCTCTGTTCTCTGGCTCCAGAACCGGCCTAGCACAGGACCGGGCTCCCTGGTCTCGGAGGGACCTCAAGGCCTGTTGTCTCTTTCCTCAGCTTTCTGTTCATGGCAGCGGGTCACTTGGGGGATCAAGTGCTTGGGGAACACCGGGAAAGGTCCTGGGATCCTAGCCCTGGAAATGGGAGAGGAGAGCGGGGAGCTACCAGGAGGAGGTTGGGGCAGGAAGTCGCCATATTTGTGTGTATGGCAGAGAGTCTGAGGATTCGGGCTTGAGTGGGTGCCCAGGAGGCCCTTAGAGAGGTAGTTGCACCTGGAACCCTCCTTCCTTCCTCTCAGGAATGGGGAGGATGGAGCTGTGGGATCCCTGGGTGTCATTGCATTACCGAGAGGGGCGGGACTCCTGGAACACTGAAAACTTGGTGAGTGCAGGGAGGCCAAAGTGTGCACATTTTCACCTGGAAGTGTGCCTATCGCCACTGTCCTCAGGAGGGAGTTGGAGCTACAGTGGTCCCTCTGCCTCTGCTCCCCTGCCCCCGTCAGACCCTCTGTGTTTGAAATCCCCAGGCCCCCACTGGTCCCTCCTCCTCCGGCCAACGCTTGGTCTAACTGTTCTCTAAAACCGCAGAGTGATCTAATTAGCGTGCCTATCAGTGTGGTCCTGGAGAAATGGATGGGATCCAAAGGCTAGATTGTACATCCTGCAAACATTCTGTGCTTCACATGAGACTCATGAAAAGCAGAGTTGAATAATGGAAAAATACATCAACTCTAACAGAAGAAAATAAATTTGTTTTGCTTGTGTTGAGGTGAAGGGCTCAGTGGAAGTTCTAAAGTTTATTAATATCTGTTTGGAGAAATGGATTAAAATAAACAGCTGTGGAAGGCGGCAGTAAACAAAACAGCAAATGGGGAAGACAGGATGACGGTTAAGTTTTGAATCGGAGGTTCCGGTAGCTTTTCTCCCCATTGTATGTGTTGTAATTTCAATTTCTCCTTACGGAAATTTACCAAATTCAAATTTATGATGCACAGATATTTGTATGATTAACAATTTACTCTTACCATTTCATCTGTCTCCAAAAGGTGAAGTATTTTGAAAGGCTTACCGAGTCTTAAACTGCTTTGACTCTCAATAAGAAAGATGTCATAGAGGGGAAAATAACCCAAAAGGATTATTTTCCAAACACCATTAAGTTAGCTAGGGCACTAAATTATTGCAGTGATTAGTTTGTAATAACAGAACAGTTTTTAGCGTACAGAGTAGAAATTTGCTTACACTGGAAAAAATGTACTCTGCCCAGTAGAACATGAGCTCCAAAAGGGTGGGAAGAGTTTCATTCTTCTTAGCTCCACAGAGCCTGTCAGAGTGTCCAGTACAAAACAGGATCCTCGAAACTATTTGCTAAGCCGAACCATTAGAGAAATTAAGGAGTCCGTAATGATACTTTCGTATCACTCACCAGCGCAGTGATGTATATATATATCTGTATTCTGGGTTTCGCTGTCAGATGGTCAGCGATGGCCCTTTCCCCACTCTTGAAAGCAGGGCTGCTTAAACAAAACAGGTGTCCACAATAGGGATTTTCATGATTTCAAATCACATTTATTGAGAACCTGCTGTTTGGAAAGCTTCGTGGTTAATGTTGGGATGGAGACGGCACTTCTGGTCTAGGAGCTGGGGGGGGGAGGGGCTCCGGGGGCCCCGCCTTGAGGGCGGAGCTCTGTGGAGTGTAAGATGAACTAGGAGGGATCCAAATCTGAGTGTTCTGACAAAGTCAGTGGGAGGGTGCAGATTGGAGCAAAGCAGGGAGCAGAAGTAAACACCCTGTAAAGTGGGAAAGCACCCTTATTAAGAAAATGATGTTTCTTACTTTATAAATTGTAAAGCCTGATTTCCTTTGAGCATGCTTTTATGTTCAGTTGCGGATTCAAGAGTTAAATCTGTGACATATTCCTGCCATTTCTTACTGGCGTTCTCAAATGAGAAGAACCATGTCAACTACTAGGCTTACTTATGTAAACAGATTTTGCCTGGAAATACTGACATGGGTTCATAACTCTGGAGAAATAGGGAAGTTTTGGGATTCGTGCCAGTGAACACATGCTTGCTGACCGGCTTTGAGGAGGCGGCCTTGCGTGGGTGCCAGAGTGAGACCAGGGGCGAACCCCACTTTGCTGTTGGTGAGCGTGTGACCTTGGGCACAGTGTACTGCAAGTTTTCTTATCTTCAAATGGAGATAAACACTACCCACCGGGCAGAATCTGACATATATAACATGCCCTGTAGGTTGTAGTTGTCCTATTTCGTTCAAAGGGACATCGGTGCATTATGAGGTGGTTTTTGTGGGGCAAGTGCTTCTTGAGCTCGCTTGTATAGTCTAAAGGTTTCAATAGTTGCTGTGAAAGATGTGACTTTTCCCATCTGACATTTAGGAAAGAGAAGGTCTGCAGGGGAGTAGTCATCCTTCAGTAATAATACTTAACAATTATTGATGCTTAACTGCCTTAGTAATCCTTTGTGGTCTAACTATTACCATTCTCATCTTTTAGAGGAGGAAGCCGAGACTCAGAGGGGTCACATGACAATCTAATGTCACATTAACCAGAACACCAGGAGGCCTGGCTCCAGGAAGGACCAAGAATTCCCTTCAGCTCGGGGCTGTTCCTCCGGTCCAGGTCAGTGCAGCCTCATCTTCTGAGGAACCTGTGAGAAATGAAGACCCTGCTGCTGTGTATCTGAGCCGTGGAGGGCACGTTGTGTTTTAAGGAGCTTCCTGGGTGGCACTGGGCCCCGATAGCTCCTGTTTGCAGCTTTCCAGTGAGATCCCAGGCGGGGCTCTCCCCATGCTTCCTGCTGACCCAGGGGAAGTCAGACTTGCAGGGAGAAGCAGGTACGCCACACAAAGTCAGGGGGTGTGAACGCCCGTGTTTTGCCTGGTGCTGTTGCCCCTGAGGTGGGGTGCAGGGTGGGCTGACCTTGCTGAGCTTCATCCAGCCTCCTCAGCACCACTTGATGGAGCCACGTCCTTCTCCAGGATGGGGTTTTTCCCACCACTTTGAAAGCTGTGGTGGGGCAAGGGCGGTGGTGGG